CAGCTTTAGGCCTGCCCCCCCCTCCACACCGCCGCCCCCTCACCGCCGACACACTGAGCCAGTCATATCCGTCTCTGTACAGAAGAGCTTACACTCTAATGTCCTCCCACAGTTACACACTATTATTATACATTTATATAGCTCCGCCATATACCGCAGTGCTGTACAGAGAACACTGAGCCAGTCACATCATTCCCTGGACAGAGGAGCTTACACTCTAATGCAGAATGGCACCGCTTGTACGGGGACTACAAATCCCAGCAATACATTTATACAGCAATGCAGAACAGTATATGAATTGGACTCTGGGCTTAGTAACACGCTGGACGCATGGCTTAGTAACGCGCTGGACGCAGGGCTTAGTAACGCGCTGGACTCTGGCCTTGGTAACGCGCTGGACTCTGGCCTTAGTAACGCGCTGGACTCTGGGCTTGGTAACGCGCTGGACTCTGGGCTTGGTAACGCGCTGGACTCTGGGCTTGGTAATGCGCTGGGCTATAGCTGCCATTTGCTTGTTGTGGCTGCGCGCCTCCCCTCCCCCTCCTAGACTGCCGCCTCCCCTCCTACACCCTCACCTTCAATCCCGAGATCCGCTACCCCATCTGCGGCCCGGGACCATCTCGGTAGGGTCTCAGGAGGAAGATGGAAGGGAGATCAGCATCTTCCTCCTTGCTGATCTCCTTCCGAGGTCTGAGTGCGGAAGTGATGTGTAATACATCACTACCGCATTCACCTGTCAGTCATCTGGCTGCTATAGCCAGAGAAAAAGAAGCGGATGAAGCAGATCTCTGCTTCATCAGCTTCTTTGGGGGTCCCCAGGTGACATTAGGGTTTTAAAGACCCCTAATGTCTCCATAAAGAGGACCTGTCAGTGTGTCTTTGCTATTATATAGGGGGATTGTTAGTCCCCTATGTGACAGCAATAACATTAAGTGTAAAAAAAAAAAAAAAAAGTCAAATATAAAAAAAAGTAAAAAAAAAAAATGTGTTTAAGTCCCCCACCCACACCTTTACGCACATATAAACGTAAATACGCGCCAGAGGCGCCATCACACGAAAGCGACAATTGTGCTACACATGCTACATATCGCCGTGAACGTCAGAGTGAGAGCAATAATTTTAGGGCCATCAATCACTGAATTTTAAGACTTGACATGTTTGGTGTCTTTTTACTGTTTTTTTTTAATTTTCGGTAATTTTTCCTTAATATAGCAAATATTAAATATCAGCAAAAGAAAGCTCTATCTGTCCCCAAAAAATGGTATAAAATTAACTTCAGTACAGCGTTGCATGACGGAATAAATGTCATTCAAAGTACCGCAGCGCTGAATACTGAAAAATGGCCTGGCCAGGAATGGGGTTTAACACCACGAACTTCAAGTGGTTAAAAAACTGTTGTTTTTTTTTTGTTACTTTTAATTTATTTATTTTTTTTACACTCAGCATCATTGCTATTGCATAGGGGGCTAACAAGCCCCCTATGTAATAGCAGATAGGGTGTGACATCAGGGGTCTTTCAGACATCAGACCCCTAATGTCACCTAGGTACCCCAAAGAAGCTGATGAAGCCAGGGATCTGCTTCACCAGCTTCTTCTAGCTCTAGGAGCCAGAGAATGCACATCACTTCCGGGTCCAGTGATCGAAGGAGAGATTCGCTGATCTCTCCTCCAATTTGTCAGGGGAGACCCTCCACGCGGTCCCGGGCTCACGCGAGGGACAGATGAGCCCGGGAAGCTGACGGCGGCACGGGCGGCTGTGGAGGGGG